AGATGTAAGAAAAACATTTGCAAACACTTCACTTTTCCAGCAAAAGTGTTCATTCCTTCATTAGCACATATTCCAATAAGGGAATGCCCTGGACTTCATTTTTCAAGTTTTTGTTGAATTATGAGAAGCGTGGAAAGACAAGTCCAGTAGTTAGGATCCGTTTGGAATCTTGCCTGAAAAAAGGCAGTCATGGAAGCCGCTCCAGGTGGCCTCTGAGACCTGTGGAGATTTTTTTCATTTCTAACTAACTTATGTTTTACCATCTGTAAAAAGAAAGCAATATTTGCCTTTGACCACCCCAGAAGAATGATCTGAGCGAAAATGTAATTAAAAATGAGAGTTCCTAGGAGTGCTCTTTGTAAGAAAAGTATGATGTAAAATTAAGATATTATGGTAGTTACTGCGGTTGTCACTACTGCTGTTACTTGACTATTGTACTACAATATCCCTGTCACTTTGTTAACCATCTTCTTGGGACCAAAAGTGACAGGTGTAAAATGATTTTTTTTTATGTCATACTTGCTTTGTCTTCTAAAGAAAAGTCTATGAGAACCTCAGAATGGGGCAAATATGCAGTATTCTTCTCAGGGAGATCCCTCTAGCCCCGGATCTACTACACACTCTCATTCTTTCAGTTTCCCTACTCCTTGAATTATCATGTCTTTTTATTCATATACAATGTAAAGCTTCAGATGATTTGAATAGTGCTATAAACCAGGAAAGGTGCTCTCTCTAGAACATTAAATGGTGACTGCCTCTCTTGAATCCAACTTTCTCGAATATCACAACTCTTTCTATCCTGTTTCTAGAGAAAAAGATCCATTTTCATATCTGTCTCTTGCAGAGACGTAATATGTGCATGGAAGTAAACCTTGTTATGTGCCACTGAAGGATTCAGTATCTGAAGTCTGGGGATCTTTTTCTTTATGTCTACAATGAGAGAAATTGGGCTAGCCGAGGCCTACGGTGCTTCTACTGCAAAAATGCTGTGGGTATAGAATTATGACCAAAAATCCCAATAGGATGTTTTTAACGGAACTATGTGACTCTAAAATTCAGTTTAAAGAACAACCTAAATATTCTTGGCTAAAATACCAAAAAAAAAAATCTTTAATTAATGGTGTGAATGGGTGAATAGGGGCTTCGCCTGCCAAATATCAAGATGTATGGTAAAGTTGTAATTAAGGCAGTGTCACACGGGTCCAAAATATATAGTCATACAATAGAATAGAACAGTAAATACAAAAAGAAATTAATGTTTGTAAAAGAATCAGTGAGAAAGGGATGAAAATAAAAATTACTATTGTGACCAGAATGTTCACCCATTTGTAGTTAAGTATTCAGTGTCTACAGAATATGTTTATATTCTTTACATTAAATTGGTGGCTGGCCATGTTCCTTAATTCATTATTATTTTTGAATAGTTTTTAAACTGATTATCTTTCAGTTTCCAAGTTAACAAAATTATTACTTATAGCTGGTATGGTTATTTCCTTTTATCTGAATATACTTAGCATTAATTTTGATATTACTATGTATTGATTAGAACTTCCTCTTTGTGATGGATGATGACAGTAATGAGAGATATCCTTCTGTCTTTTTTACTAAGTAGACATTGGCGGTTGCTTTTAAACACATATTCTTTACTGGAATGAGGGTTCCCTATCTCTAGTGCACTGAAAGATTTTTTTTTTAATTTTCGAATCGCGAGTATAAGTTACATTTATAAATGCCTTTAAATCATCTATCAGAAGGTTTTCACAATTTTCTCATGATCATGTGGTGTGATGAAAAAGGGTTATAGATTGTAATCTTAAATTTCTAGGTTAAATTTTATCTGGTACAGTTTTCATTTTAAAAATCAGAATTTAATAATACTGTGTTTAATATTTGTGCATCTATAGTCATAAGTAAAATTGATCTACTTTTGGTATTATTCAGGTATTTGTCTAAATATTAAAAATATACATTTGTAAACTGGACCTGTGGCTATCACCTAGCTGAATAGGTGTCTTAGTCCATTTACTGTCATTCTAAAGGCATATCTGAGGCTGGGCAACTTATAAAGAAAAGAAGTTTATTGGCTTATGGTTCTGAAAACTGTATAAGAAGTATGGTGTCAGCATCTGCTCAGCTTCTGGTGAGGCCTCAGTCTACTTCCACTCATATTGGAAGGAGAAACTAGTGCCTGCAGAAACCACAGGGCAAGAGAGAGCGTAGCAGGGGAGGTGCCAGGTTCTTTTTAACCAGCTCTCACAGGAACTAATAAAGTGAGAAGTCACTCACCCCCAAGGGAAGGCATTAATCTATGCAGGAGAGTTCCACTACCATGACTCAAACACCTCACATTAGGTACTGCCTCCAAAACGGGATCAAATTTCAACATGAGGTTTGGAGGGATCAAACATCCAAGCTACAGCAATAGGCAAACAAATAGGACAAACTACATTACCCAAATCCACTTTAGGAGGAATCCAGCTGTTAGACCTAATGAATGCAATTAATAGATGCAAATTTTAGTCTTCTATATACAGGTTAAAATAACTCTGAGAAATTAGTTGTTTGCAAACCAATTTATGTATTACAGCAAACCAATTTATGTATCTGTAAATGAAAACTTTAAGTTATTCAGTTTATCACCTATATGCATAACACATATATGAAAGAAAAACTAGATTGATTTTCTTTTTCATTAATTACAGTACTGACAATATTTGGGGTTCAAGAAAAAATTCTAACCACAACAAATTTTGGTAAAAGCTGGCACTATATAAGAGAAAAATTTCTGCATAATAGGAAAAGACAGACATACAGACCAGTGGAGTAGAACAGAAAGCCCAGAAATAAACTCTTACATATATAACTAAATGATTTTTGACAAGAATGCTAAATGTTCCATCCGAAAAGTGTAGTTCTTTTCAACAAATGATGTTAGTAAAACTGGATATTCACACGCAAAAGAATGAGGTTGGACCCTTACCTTACTCCATATACAAAAATCAATTCAAAATGGATTCAAGACATGTAAAGAAATGTAAGAGTTAAAACTATAAAACCATTAGAAGAAAACACAGTATAAAAACTTCATGACATTGGATTTGGTGATGATCTTAGATATGATACCAAAAGGCAGGAAAAGAAAACAGAGTAAATTGCATTTCATCAAAGTCTAAAAACGTCTGTGCATCTACCAACATCTATCTTTCTGTAGACACTATCAATAGAGTATAAAAGGCAACGTATGGACTAAAATATTTGCAAATTATATATCTGATAAGGATTTAATATCCAGAATATATAAACAACTCATAGAACTCAACAATAACTCAATTTTAAAAAGCAGCTAAAGGACTTGAATAGACATTTCTCAAAAGGAGATATACAGTTGGCCACTAAGAACATAAAAAGATGTTTAATATCACTAATTATTAAGGAAATGTAAATCAAAACCACAGTAAGCTATCCCTTCACATTCATTAAGATGACTATTTTTTTTTTTTAATTAGAAAATATAAGTGGCAAGGACGTGGAGAAATGACTACCCTAAAGCATTGTTTGTGGGAGTATAAAATGGTGTAACTATCACAGAACACAGTATCGTGGTTCTATGTTTAAAAAACTAAGCACGGAATTACCACATGACACAGCTATTTCATTTCTGGGTATGCACCCAAATGAACTAAAATCTGAATCAAACATATTTGTGCACCAGTGTTCGTAGCAGCACTGTTCATAATACTGAAAAGCTGGAAACATCCCAACATCCATTGATCAATGAATAGATAAACCAATATGGTATATAGAGACGATAGAATCTTATACATCCTTAAAAAGAATAACATTCTGACATATGTTATAATATGGATAAGCCTTAAAGACATTATGCTAAGTGAAATAATCCAGACACAAAAGGACAAATTTTGTATGGTTCCATTTACATGAGGTACCTAAATTAGTCAAAATCATAGAAACAGACAATAGAATGGTAGTTGCCAGGGGCTGGAGGGAGAGAAGAATGGTTACAGAGTTTCAGTTTGGAAAGATGAAAAATTTTTGGAGATGGATGGTGGTGATTCTTGCACAACAATGTCAATGTGTATAACACCTCTAATCTTTACACTTAAAAATTGTTAAAATTGTAAATTTTAAGTTATGTATATTTTACCACAATTAAAAGATACTAAACTACTTGAGGTCAAGATTTATGGGTTTCTCTTCATATGTAAGAAGTTGGCCACACACCGGGGCCTCCAGAATTACATGGACCACATTTAAAACCCAGCTTTTTCATTCCTGGCTATTTGACTATTGCTAACCTTTAAAGATTATTATTTGCTTATCTATAAAATGACAGTTATAATAATACCTACCTGTGACTTGACATGAAGAATAAATGCATAATGGACTTAAAAATGTTTCGTATAATGCTGACAAATAATAGTTATCAAAGAATTAACCACTATTACTCCTATCTTAGAAAATTGGACACAGTGCTCACTTCTGAGGCCACCTGTATGTCTGGACATGACCTTAGCCTTGATTCTGTCTATAAAGTGGGAACTATGCAGCTTGCATCACAGAGTTGCTGTGATGATTTAATAAGATTATGAGAAAGTACTTGTAAATCATAGGACTATATAGAAATAAGTTATTTCACATCAGAGAATAACAAAATACATTAGAAAGTAAAGCAAAAAAATGGAAAGAAAGGAAGAAAGAAAGAAAGAAAGAAAGAAAAAGAGAAAGAAATAAGGAAGAATGTACTTGCCACAAGAACAATTTTCAATGCTGATTTTACATGTAAAAACATTTCAAAAGAAGATATTCAGAAACCTCCAAAACTGGAATGAAAATATCCAGGTTTCTCAGATATAAAAAGACTGATCACACACAAAAAGGAATATTTTATAGTGGTATTCAAATACATCATAAATAACCCAAATACCTATCATTCTAGATCTATTGCTTATTCCACACTTTATGACCAAAGAAAAAACTACCCTCCACATAGGTTCTGGTCTCAGCGCATACTCAGCCTCGATGGGATTTCCTTAAGAGTCAAAACCCCCACAGTTGTGTGAAGCCAGAAGCTCCGCGATCTTCTGAGGGCGTCTATCTGGTTTTCTAAGGAGCATTTTAGAGGTTTTACTTTACCTGGAGAAAGCATGGGCGGAAGCTATCTGCAAGAGCACTTCTTCTCTTGGACAGCAGAGGGCACTCCAACTCCACGAGAGGCGGACCATCTCAGCCCACCCTCCCCCCCGCCCCGCCACTCCCCCCCGCCCCCAGCCGGCTGTACCTTCCTGGCCTTGTTGTCAAGACGTGAACCCAGACGAGCAGAGCTCCGTTTTCACAAAATATTGCACCGAAAACCTATTACTATTCCCTGGGAATTATTGGCACATTCAAAAGAAGTAAATGGAGCCGTGGCAAAGGGAAAGGGTGGAGTCCCACCATACTGCAGGCTGCCTTAGGCCTGACAGTTCCTCTCACGCCTGTTACATTCTAAAGAGAGTTAAAACATGTCTGTGGCAGAAATTGTGAAGGATTAATGAATACCTCCCAGAGCCCGTAACTCCAAAGCAGAGTTACTGAGGAATATTGAGTTACAGCCACACAGCATCGAACTGGCACTGGGCTGAATTGTCCCGCCGTCTTAAGAAAAGTCCCACAAGCGGAGGAAATAGGATGGGAGGACCCTTGTCTAGCACGCTGTCAGGAAAGGTTTAGGAAACACAAGACAAAACAGTGACTCTACCAGCCTGACCAAAATAAAGTCATCGCACTTTAAATGTGAATGTGCCTAGACATTTCTGAGGCTAACTCATATTGTGCAAACGATGCTGCGTGACACTGAAAGAATTACAAAACGTTCTCTAAATATAACAAAGAGAAAAAAAAACTTTTTTTTTTTTTTAAGACAGAGTCTTGTTCTGTCACCCAGGCTGGAGTGCAATGACGCGATCCTGGCTCACTGAAACCTACACCTCCCGGGTTCAAGCAATTCTCCTTCTTCAGCCCCCAGAGTAGTTGGGATTACAAACGTGCGCCAGCACACCTGTCTAATTTTTGTATTTTTAATAGAGTTGGTATTTCACCATGTTGTCTAGACTGATCTTGAACTCCTGACCTTAGGTGATCCATCCACCTCAGCCTCCCAAAGTGCTGGGATTACAGGCATAAGCAACCGCGCCTGGCCTCAAGAAAAAACTTTCATAAGGTCTGACCTTTTCTTCTTGATGTCATTATTCAGGTAGTTATTCAAATGGCTCTAATTAAGGAAAAAGCCCAGATAAACCTTTTTTTTTTTTTTTATGGCTTAGGAGTCCAGGTAATTCTCTGTAATGTCATCCAAGGAAGACTTCTTTTCCTGTTTTCTCTTCTCCCTGACTGCTTCCTTTCCTCATCCTCCTTTTGTCATTTTATCCCTTTCAGTCAACATAACATGCATTCTTTCCAGATCAGCCAAGCATCACAAGGAAATAACCATTCATCGGGTGCTGTGGCTCATGCCTGTAATCCCAGCTCTTTGGGAGGCCGAGGCAGGTGGATCGCCTGAGGTCAGGAGTTTGAGACCAGCCTAGCCAACATGGTGAAATCCCCATCTTTACTAAAAATACAAAAAATTAGCGGAGCATGGTGGCAGTCACCTGTAATCCCAGCTAGTTGGGAGGCTGAGGCAGGAGAATGGCTTGAACCCGGGAGGCAGAGGTTGCAGTGAACTGAGATAGCACCATTGCACTCCAGCCTGGGCAACAAGAGCAAAACTCCATTTCAAAAAAAAAGACAACCATTCAAATATGAATCTATATTAACTTAATCTGTCGTAAAGTCACCTTGCCTTTGTGGTTTTGGCAAAATTCTGGTAAAATTTCTAATGAAGGAAACTCATTATAATGTCCTTCAGGCAAATTTAACAAGCTTCAGAAAATGAGGTGTATATAGAATATATAATAGATTCTTAGCTCATTCTAGGCACTGTACTTGGTGTCTTGGTAGTAGTTGTTAGGCCCTTTTATGGGCCTTAAGATGGTAGAGAATCAAGTTCAAATTCTGTCTCTGGTAGTTATTTTAACCTCTGTGACATGGAGTACTTAACCTCTTTGATCTTCCATATTCTCAGATATAAAAATAAAAAGAGGGCCTATCTAGAGCTATTAAAAGGATTCACATTTCATAATTGTATTTCAACCACAAACTGGGATGCTTAGTAAACAAGGCACTTTCTCTTGATTAAAACAATGAATTAAATGCTGTACCAATTTTGTAACTCAAATTGACAAATGTTAGTTTCATCCAAAGCATTTGCATGTTTCTGGCCTAGAAGTTAAAATTCTTCATTTTACTCTCTCCATTTCAGGGCACACAATATAAGAAAACTTCATGAAAAATAAAAGTGAAAATATATTTAGCTACAAATGAATGTCCTCGTCCCTGAAAATTCCAGAAGACATATCTTCTATTAATGGCAGTGAACAAGAAAATTTTCTGGTGTCTCTGAAAATGAGCAGGCCTAAGGAAGACTGACAAAGGGCCACCTGACATCGCTAGACTTGTGGAGAAGGCTTGAGTGCAGGGCTCTCAACATTTCTAAATAAAACTGCACACCTAGGTTTCTTTCCAAATCGTATATTGATTACTTGCAGTCAAATTGTGGTCTTTCAAACAGCATGCCCCTTTATCATCATGGAACCAGCAGTTCCAGATTCCATAATTGAGAGCTACATCGTTTATAGGAATTGGTATTCAGAATAAGACTTTTTAGTTTGAAGCTGAATAATGAATGATACATGTATGTGGAGATCAGTCACTTGCTGGGAAAAAATTGTGCAATTCATGTTTTCATGTCTTTGCCAGGAGAAATAGCACCTTATACATTTTTTCAGAAAGAAAAGTATTTCCATCTACCATGTCAGCTTGGAAGACTGAATTAGAGACATTTCTTGGTGGTAGTCGCTTCTTTTGGGGAGAGGGCTACTCAAAACTAAAGAAACATCCTAAATTCACCTCCTAATATGGCAGAATTATTTGTTCTATATGTAACATTTATTTTGTCTTTAATGCTCAATTCATGAATTGTGAAAAATGACAGAAAGAATGTATCGTCTAATGATTCCACAATGGGTCATGATATACTTGTGCCCTCTTAAATAAAATGAAAGCAAATGCACAATTTTTAGACATTTACTTTTGTTTTTAAAGTAGAGGACATTAATGATCTTCCTTAATTTTATTTCTTCCCTATAATTTGAGAAATATCATTAATTATATATCTGCCCCTTTCTTACTTTGACTATGCATATATATTATATATATTTCAAATTCTTATTCAATTACAAATCTTAAAGTTATCTTTTAAATTTTTATGAAATATTTTAGATATATTTTTAAAATAATAAACTCTCTAATTGATAATGGCACAAACATCTCCTACCCTGCCCTTCTTTTTTGGCAGGGGGAGAAAGAGAGTCTCAAATTTGGTGATTTAATAAAAATAGGCTTTTAATTAACATCTCATTAAGTATGAGTTTGAAAGAAAAGACCAACATGTTTTATGTTAAGTTCTGTAATGTGGAAATGCTAAGAGATTGCTCCCATAGCAGTTCCCCGAGCAAAATATAATCAGTCCATTTCGGGAGACATAAATTGCTTACCTGATGGGTAAAGAACTCTAAAGGAAAGAACTCTAAAGGAAATGTCCTGCCCTCCTAATTAGAAATATTTGTAGAAAATATATATTGCTTATGACATTGGTAATAGTTTACTGGTTCTAAGTGCATGTGCTATTCTAAAAGGCACTATTTCCACAATGAATGACAGTATCATATGATTATAATTTTAGATCTAGCCCCATGAACTGTTTTGAGATGTCACTAATTCACCTTGATCTCCCCCATCTCTCAAGCTCTACAATGTGACATCAGAAGTTATGCATTCTAAGGAGTTTTCTAGTCATTTCATATATTTTAGTTTACAGTTTACAAAGGCTGTATATTCTTTGTGGGCACAGACTCAGAAAAGTTTGCTTATTACATATCCCTATAGTTTTTAGAAAATAAACAAGTATAGAATAGGACCTCCAAAATTATTTTTTGTTTAAAATAAATTATTTTAGGAAATTTTATTGCAGACTAACAAGACTTTTTAAAATCACAGTGATTTCGTTATGATATCAGTAATATGAAGAAATAGTGAAAAGTTATTTGCAAACTATAATTCTTTAATCCAAATTATTTTTCAGCACACACATTTCTTGGTGAAATTTGCAGGCTCCAGTATATATGTCAAGTAGTGACTAGTAGAATAGTTCTGTTAATTTGGTGGAAAAAAGGCATTTAAAGTTTTATTTTGTTAACCTTGACATATTCATTTTATTTTAGAGTAAAAAAATAATGGAAGTGGAATTGAAAGCTTTTTATTTTGCTATTTAAGAATTGTGTATCACGTCTTAAAGAATCATAAGATCCTAACGGTAATGTGAAAAGAGCCAAAGACATTTTTATCTAAGCTAAATGGTCAATTACTTAATAGTTTACTTTTCGAATTCAGTAAGTTTTTATCTGATTTGTTTCACATAAAAGAGAAGAGATGGCCTCTTATGCATCATAAATTACATAATTATGTTTATATATGTGAATTTTACATTATAATTGTTTTTGAAAAACACTATGTAAGGATTAGGGAATCCTATTTAAGAAATGTAGTGGCATGTACTGTGCACCAAAGGGAAAGAAAATCAACCTATATAAAATTTGTTTTGCTAAAAAGAAAAAAAAAGGCAAACTGGAATAAGGGGAGTGGAACAATCTTCCTTCAACTCCAACATATACTTCATTTGCACCCCTACAATAACTGTCACTGTTTTTTTTAAAATACTGCATGAATTCATGCTAAAATTCACTCTTAAAGCAAGGAACATCTTGCAGTAGCTTGGATATGTCCAGAAATAACATGAGTAGTGGCTATTTTACCCAGCAGGCTCCTTTATCACTGTAGAGAGGGAAAGTTGACAGCCTTTGTATCTGCAGTGTAATTAGCTTGTGGATGTAGGGCCATCATGAAAGCAACATTTACATTATTACAGGCATGTGGCTGTTTGCTGGCTGTTACTGGAATAAGAAGTGAATTCCACTATATACATTTAAAGGTGTATTCAATCCATTTTCTAATACTTTTCCCTCCAGAAAAGCAACAGTGTGTTCAGCAAGATGGAACTAAACTGTTGCTAAACAGAGAGTTCTCACC